TAACCTGCGGCAGCCTTTCTGGTTTGGTTGGTGTAAGTCTTTTAAGGTGCAATGTACATTTGTCTTATGAAGAAAATGATATCTTTACTATTTCACTAGTTCTATAAGACAATTTTTCTCCAAAAAGAGTTCAACTATACGCTATATGCAGATGATATAATTGTCCTCACTTTCTCAAAATCTAGCTTGTCATCCACCAAAGCACTCTCACGATAGTACATAGTGAAAGCTTTTACATAGTTTTAAAGATCATTGTTTAAAGTCCTGTAAGGATCTGCAGTATCCGATGCACTTTAAGTTTCGGTCCCTGTCCTCTTCTGTAACCTGCTGGTCCTGCAATACCGAGCTACGTGCATGGCTCTGCCTGAACCTTAGTGATGCATGTCCCTGTGCTTACACACGTGCAGTGCCCTCTGCCTCAGACACTGTCCCTTTTCCTCCTGGCCATCTGACAGATGCATACTCATCCTCCAAGTCACAGTTTGATCATGTTTGTGGTGCTTTTCCTGCCTGTCTATAATGAATCTGGGGGAACCTTTTCAGTATGTCCCTGCAGCCGAAGAGCAATTCCACTGTGCAGATGGACTTTCGAGTCTAGACTTGTCTGGAGACCTAATCACTTAGCTTCATTTCATGTGTGTGTGTGTACGTGCGCGCACGCACCTGTGTGTGTGTATGTGTATGTGTGCGCACGCACCTGTGTATGTGTATGTGCACGCACGCACCTGTGTGTGTGTATGTGTATGTGAGCACACGCACCTGTGTGTGTGTGTGTGTATGTGCGTGCATGCACCCGTGTGTGTGTGTGTGTGTGTGTGTGTGTGTATGTGTTATGTATAGGCTGCCCATTCAAAGCCTACTTCAAAGAAACAATTCTGCTGTCTTGACTAGTCAGTGGGGATATTGTGCAGATGAAGGAGACTTCGGGAATCTCATGGCCTTGTCTTGGCTGTATAGTAAGTGATAAGGACTGCTGTAAGCACTGCGTTTCTGTTGCTCTAGAGAAGGCTTCTAACACACTAGCTGGTTTGAAGGCAGCAGGAGTTTAGCAGGCAGGTGAGTTTTAGAAAGTCTTTCCAGAGAGAAGGGTTTGCATGTGCAAAGAATTCTTACTTTGAAGAAGACTTTGAATGGGTGGCTTATACACACACACACACACACACACACATAAAAGAAATGAAGCCAAGAGATTAGTCTAGACTTGCTAACCTGTTTCAGAAACTCAACCAAGTAACTGTATTTAACTCTGAAAGGGTCCATAGAGATGTGGGTTCAAATCCCAGCTCAGTCATTTAATATCAGCTTCCTTACTTGAAAAATATAGTAAAAACGTAAATTTCTTGTGAATATTACATGATTTATAAATATTTAATGTTTAATAAATATTTCCTTTTCTCCCTGAATAGAAAGTACATAAAGATGAGTGTTTTACGTATGCACAGTGCATATGTGCCTGTACACGTACACGTACACACATGCACGCAATCCATTTCAGAACCACACATTGATATTTCAACACCCTGAAAGCAGAATTATCCCCTCCCTTTGAGTCACATCAAATGAACATGCCCAAACTCTTAGTTCCAATTTGGGAACTTTAAAGAACAGATAGGATTTTGGCTCTGACATCGATCTCTACTGCTTTTAAATCACACTTGTGAAAGACACATTTACAAGCACTGTGACATCTCATTCCACCTTAGAAGCACCTACTCAGACCCACAGCTGTCTGTACACGTGAAAGGACACGCTCAAGACTCCATCCTTTTCTTTTTCTTTTGCAGGTAATTCATGTGTCAGTAATACAAATGTTTAGCAAAACCAGAATGGAAGTATTATAAAATCACCCAAAGAAGTTATGCTTTGGTTTATACATCTCTAACAATAGTATCTGACATCAAAGCACTCTATCTATAAATTTAATAAATAATTTTTAAGTGGTAAAACTTAAGGATCACAAGTATATCAAAAGCAAAAAAAAAAAACACTTTAATTTATGGCTGGTAAGTATGCAACTAGCAACAACTGTTTGAGACTAATTTGGCAATGTAAACCTAGAGTCTTAAAATGTAAATTTCTCAAGCCCAGCAACTCCACTTTGGTGACTCTTACACCAGGAAATAATCTGGACTTCTGGAGGGAATTTTGGGTACCAAGTAGTTCATTTTGCTATTTTTATAATGTTGAAGTATCAGAAACAATCAAATGGCCAAAAATAACAAAACGAACTAGTGAACTGGTGGAATAACAGGACAGCTGTCTCTGTTAACACTATCCTTGCTCATTTGTTGTTTATCACTAGACGGTGAGCATCATGAGAGGAGAATGCAGAAGACTCAATGAATCACTGAGTAGGTACACCCAGGCATGCACAAATGCATGATTTAGAGAGATATATAACAATATGGAAAAATATATATAATGCAATATTAGGTAAAAACAACCAAAAAATGCAACATTATAAATAGAGATTACAATGATCAGACCATATAGAGAGCCTAAAAATACTGAAAAATAAACAAATGAATTAACTGACAGGGTAACATCTAAATAACTGTGATTTTCCTTCTGTATTTCTGCATTGTTTGAACTTTCTATAGCTAACAAATATTATAATAGGACCTATCTCTTGAAGTTCATATGAAGTTTAAATGCTTAGCACAGTGCTGAAGACAAAATGAGTTTTCATTAAACATTCAAAAGTTTTGCAAAATACTACCGTCTTGTTTTGAATTAAATGTGGCCCTTTATCTTCTCTCGCTCCACAATCCCCTACAAAATGTAGTAAAGGAATATAAGCATCTAAACCTGCAAAGATAACCAAAAAAGAACAAGGAAAACAGAAAATGCAAGGGGCAGACATCAGATGAGGGACTTCAAACACCGTTAAGTGGAGAATGGGAGATGGAGGCCTGTTAACTGACTTGGCAGAGAGGCACAAGCAGTGACCTAGTGCCTGCAGAAGGAAGCACCATACGACTTGCAGCTCTCAGGCCTCTGGTGAGCAGGAAGCAGGTGCCGTGGAGGACAGGGGTACAACAGGGGTTGTGTGCGACAGGAGGAGAGCTGAAAATCTTGACAATTGTAACAGGATGCTGCTGTTATTCTTTGGGATTCTGTGGTGAACCACATTTCCATGGCCGTAATCATGATTTACCCTTGTTTCAAACCAAATCTTGATATTAATATATTTTGTGGATGGACAAAAGTTGTAAAAGGGGTCATAAAAGAGACAGAGAGTTAAGTCTCTATCAAGGCAAGAAGTGGACACTTCTGAAGTTGACAAATCAAGGAATAGTGGGATTACATGGGTAATTGGTTCCAGTACCCCTCCCACCCATGGCTACCAAAATTCACAGATGCTCAAGTTTCTTATACACAGTGGTATAGCATTTGCATATAACTCATACACATCCTCTGTATACTTTAATCATCTGTAGATTTCTTGAAATACCTAATACAATGTCTACACACAGCTTTGTCTGCGTGGATTTAATGTAGCACTTGGGGCAAATTCAAGTTTTGCTGTATGGAATTTTGGTGAATTTTATTTTCTGATTATTTTTGACCTATGTGTGATTGAATACATCGATGTGGAACCCATGTACAGAAGGCCAACTGTTTCTGGCCAACACAGAAACACGGAGGCCAGGATGAGAAAAACAGTAGTTAAAAGAGTTGAAAGGGGTGGCCGCCAAGAGTGGGAGTGGCAGATGAGCAGAGATGACCTGGGGAACTAGTTTGTTCTGCTTTTTAAACCATAAATCTTTGGGGATTTTTTGATTATTTCAAGTAGGTTTATACATTCACTTGATAAAATTCAAAATCAATTTTGACCAAAATCTGGCTAGGACATGCATTATCTGTTTGGGCATCATCTATCTCGGGCATCCTAATCTAAGCCCTACTCCTCCCTCTGTGGCACGGCGATAACACCACCAACCCAATATTTCAAGAAGCTAACACCTATTGTAAACGCAAAGCGCTTAGCACACACAGTCTCTATAGAAGGCTCAAAAACTTTTTATATAATGTGTTCTCCAAAGTTAGCTATTTTAACTGACTGAGGGAAACTAATAACATAGATGGGTAAAAGACATTTTATGCTTTTAGCCACAGCCTCGGCTTTAAATAATTTCCTCCTACATGAGCTGTATTCTGTCTCTGCAGCCAGGGCCATAATGGCCATAATGACAGATGTCTAGGGCCCCTTAGACATCATGTCACAGGACAGGAATTAACATCGCTTGGGTTCTTGGCTGAGCAGTGTTTGGAGCCTTGGCTGAGCCTCTCACTTCCTGACAAAGGGAAGCAGAAAAGGGGATGGTGTGGTGAGGCCTGTGTTGTCCTGACTCTTCCACCTCACCCCATCTAGAGTGTCCAGATGTCCCCACTGCACCCAACCTCTCTGCACTTCCTGCTGCCTTGTACCAGATACAACGTGTCTGTGGGACGGGTCAGTGGGACGTGCAGGGGGAAGGGCGGCCTGGGTCCAGGCTATGCTACTGGGCTTCTCGGCACCTGGGCTCCTGGACTCAGGGCCAGTGTTTCATCATTAGATGCCACAGTGCTACCCAGGATGGCCAGAAACTGTAAGCTCCAACTCTTTTGCACTAATAAGGAGTTGACTTCTTTCCTTTTTTGGCTATAAATAACACCATTCTTGACACTGTCTTAGGATTGTGTGTGTCCTATTACTGATAGTGTGAAATAATCCTTAAAATGAAAACTGGGAGAACCAGACGTAAGTCCCACTCTGCTTTAATTAGCCACATTATTTCCACAAATAATTTCATTTCCACGGATCAGTTTTCTCATCTGCAAAGCAGGCATGTTGCTGGCACTCACCCTACTTATACATGTGTGTAATTCATAGGAGCTGGAATTAATGCAAGTGATGTGTAAGCTATAAAATACTGTACAAAAGCAAGGGGAAAGAGGAGAAAGACGATGAGTGAGTGCTACGCTCATACAAGAGATCAAAAGGACAGTGAGCTTACCTTTCTCGGTGAGAGAAGGCAGAACAACCAAAGGGCAAAAACTGGGAGCATTATTTTGAGCAACTGAAAAGAAAAAAAGCAGTCTTTTAGTTCTTTTCTACCCCCTTGGTATCACTGAGTTCAGAATGCATTAATAGGAGTACAAGATGGGGATCATGAAATCCGACTTAAGCAGACAGACTGTCCCACCCGATAGGTCAGGGTGGGCTGGATGATGCTGAGCTAACAAACAATCTCAACATCTAAGTGGCTTAGAACAGTACAGGATCCCTCTCCTTGCACCACCTGCCTACTGCAGATAGGCTGGGAGCTTTGCTCTACGTTATCCTCTCTCAAGGACCAGGCTGGAAAGGGCAACTTCTTGCTCCAGGTTTCAGTAATTGCCATGCAGGGCGAAACGAATACAGCAGATTTCAGTCTTGCTCTCAGAGCTTTTGCCTAAAAGTGACACATATCACTCCTTTTCTCATGACATTGACCAAAGGTAGGAATGAGATCAAGGGTGAGGAAGTGCAGTCCCACCCCGTCCCAGAGAGTAGAGAGCAGAAACGTGTGGGCAACAACACAAATGCCAGTCACTATCACTTACTGACTCTGTGACCTGGGTGAGGCACTTATCCTTTCTGGGCCTCAGTTTTCACATTTGTGCAATGAGAATAGCACCACCTACCTGGAGAATTACTATGAAATTACTGGAGATAACACAATTTATTACATTTGGCACTATGCCCACATAAGATACAAGCTCAGCAAATGTCAGCTGCTAATGGCAGGCAGCACAGTATGGTGACAGCCTGGACTTTGAAGGCAGGCAGACCAGATATGGGCCTCAACAGACCACTTGGAAGCAGTGCAGAGTGACAAGCCCTCTAACTTCCTCTATTTTCAGTTCCACCATTGATAAAATGAAGATGATATAAAAATTAAATGAAGAACCAGACCCAGTATGTGACCCACAAATGCGAATTACCTTCTTCCCCTTTTCTTCCCTTACTGAACATATCTAAATCTTCATCATTCCTTTCTCTCTAATGGCCCAAACTAGGACCATACATGGGACCTCCTTGCTCACGAGGAGCTGCGGCAACGTAGCATGGCCAGCAGTCAAAAGTAGGGGCTCCCGCGTCAGCGATCCCAGGTCAGTGGCCCCCGGCAAGATTGGTTTGTTGTTTTTCTGCTGTGTAACCTTGAGCAAATTACTCAACCTCTCTGTCCTCAGTTTCCTTGTCTATAAAATGGGCATAATAACAGTGCCTCTCTTAGGGTTGCGAGGTTTAGATGAGCTGATGCTGGTCCAACTTTGGTCATGTAGTAACATTTAATACATCCTGCCTCTTATTCACTCTTAACACTGTCCTTTAACAATAATACACCCTCATCACATCTCTTGTCCCTGTGTGTCTCCATGAAAAGGTATGGGTCAGAGTTATGCTCTATTCTGGTCCCAAAGTCCTTATGTGGGTCCTCTCACATCCACCTCCTTCTCTGCCTTCTCCACTTTGGTCAAGTATGCCAAACCCCAGCCTCTCTGGGTTCCAGAGCCTTCAATCCTATTGTGTCTTTTTCTGCTTGGCATCATCGCCCTAGAAGCACCTGCCACTGTCATTCTAAGCAACCAGATCTCAAACTTTGACAGCCTCCAAATTACCTGGAGGACATGATAACACAAACCTTGCTGGGTCCCACCCCAGAGTGTCTGATTTGGCAGGTCCAGGAAGGGATCTAAGGTTTACATTTTTAGCAAGTTCCGCATTGCTGCTGTTGCTGCTGATCCACATTGAGCCAAGGCTTCTGTATCTCACGTTCTGGGAGCTCCTCATGTAACTCATAATTGCTCATAAGTACCCCCACGCTCCACTACACGCAGTTGGACAGGCTGACACTTGTCATCCTGTTGTCACTTGTTTAAAATATCTGTTCTTCCTGGAAGAGACTCTGAGAACCAGGCTCCTAAGAATGCAACCTTCAGAGAACAATCTCCCTATCTATATTGAGGGCATTCAAATGTCCATTCTTGGATCCAGTAATTCTGTTCTTAGAAATTTACTTTGAGCTTCTGAGTTGGTGAATACACAGAGGTTCTGGGAGGGTGGGGCGCCTAAAAACGGTATGGAGGCTCCTCCCCCGGCCCCCTTGTCCTATGCACCCCTTCCCTTTTTGAGTTGTGTCCTTTATAATAAAACTTTAATAGTTAGTGGTTTCCCTGAGTTCTGGGAGCTATTCTAACAAGTTATTGACCCTAAGGAGGAGATCATGAAAACCCCCATTTATATGGTCAGAAGTGCAGGAGCCCAGGACTCGTGACTGGCAGCTGAAGTGGGGGGCAGTCTTCTGTGACAGAGACTTAACCTGTGGGGTCTGACTTTAACTCCAGGTAGTGAGTGTCTGAATTGAATTGAGTCACTGGTCTAGAAGGTTGAAGAATTGGTTGGTGGTGAGGCAGGGGGCAGGGGGGGAAACACATATTTGATATAAGAAACATTGTGAGTAAAAAACAGCTCTTACTTCCACATCTTCAGCTGTAACGTTATTTGTCAGAACAGCACTGCAAGGGATAACTGTAGGCCCCATCTCATCAGACTGTTAGGGAATTAAATGAGATACTGCATGTCAAATGCTAGCCTAGTGCCAGGAGCAGATTCTATGCTTAGTAAAAGGTAAGAAGCTGGTGAGAGGATGTGAATGTTGATAAAGAATAGCTTCTACAGTAAATTGCTTCCTACATATGGAAGTTTCTATGTGGGTTGTAGAGACACATAATTAGAAGAACTTGTCATTTCCTTTCCAGGTTCTTATATCTAGAATTTCAACAGGGTCCAAAAACATTTGTTTAGCAGAAGACAGGAACTGTAAGTTCAACTGTCTTTTCTAGACATCACATTCGACTTTGTAAACAGACCTTGCCCCACTTGCAGACAATGCACAGCTGCAGATAAGATGGGCAGCCCTATTTCTCTTCAAAGAACAGAGTCCCAATGCCCCAGAGGCCCACCCTTTCCAGGAAGCCCTGGGCTCTGGCGTACTGCTTAACCACAGAGCAGCGCCCCCCTTATTGCACACACCACACCCACCTCACCTCAGCACTTACACCCTTGTCCTCTGGAGGCTCAGAACAGTTCCTCTCTGGCTCTACTGCCAGGAAAAGGTTGCAAACAGTCTCATTTGCATTCACAATTGCTTAGCCTGAGACTCTGAGGCTCTGTGCTAAGATGCATGAAACTTTCTGCTCACTTCTGAGCTCTGCTTATTGCAGAATCAGAAGGCCTATGGCTGCAGGCTCTTTAGACTCTCCTCTTGGTGCTCCGCTGCACTAGGTCTGTGCTTTTCTCTTTCTGAATGCTGGGAGACCCTGCTCTGTCCTTTGATCTGTGACCACAGCCCTGTAAGAAGGTAATGTTGCAATTGTCCATGTTTGCAGGCCTCTGCCTCTGAGGCTGTGAGGTCTGTAAGGGCTGGTCAGTGCCACTGCTCTTCGCCCCACTCCCCTTTCTTCATGTCCAGCTTTCCCCCAGAGTCACTTTTGTATACTCCCATGTATAACAGAATTTCCTGTTCCTCCCTCATGCTCTGAAGAAACACCACCAGCCTCCTATCTCACCCCTGGGATCCCACTACAGTAACACAAGCCACATCGTAGTGTAATTCTCTGATTGGAGAGAATAATTATCTCTTGAGGATGGGGAGGAGAATAGCACCCTCCTCCCAGGGGCATGTGAGTTGATACAAGGAATGCCTTTAGAATAGTGTCTATATATGGTTTGGAAGTGTGTCCCCTCCAAATCTCATGTTGAAGTGTATCCTTCAGGGTTGGAGGTGAGCCTGGCAGGAGGTGTTTGGGTCATGGGGATGGATCTGTCATGAATGGCTTGGTGCTGTCCTCGCAGTAACGAGTGAGCTCTCGCTCTATGAGCTCACACAAGTAGTTGTTTAAAACAGCCTGGCACCTCCTCTCTCTTGATCCCTCTCTCTTTCTCTCAGTCGCACCATGTGACAGGTCTGCTTCCCCTTACCTTCTGCCAAGAGTAAAAGCTTCCTGAGGCCTATACAGAAGCTGGGCAGATGCTGGTGCCAGGCTTGCACGGCCTGCAGGACCATGAGCCAAATACACCTCTTTTCTTTATAAATTACCCAGTCTTGGGTACTCCTTTATAGCAATGCAAAATGAATGAACACAGTATGACATAGAGTAAGTGCTTAAGAAAGGTCTGTTTCTTAAACATCTGTCTGCTTAGCTAGACAGTCAACCCTTTGTGGGCAGGAACTTCTACCCCCTGTGCCAACAAGTTGTTTGGCACATCACAGGAACTCAATAAATCTCAGTTCCTAATGATCCTAGTGGCAGTTTCTCAGAAACAGGGGACCTAGCGTGACATGGTTTGGCTCTGTGTCCCCACCCAAATCTCACCTTGTAGATCCCATAATTCCCACATGTTGTGGGAGGGACCTGGTGGGAGATGATTGAATCATGGGGGCAGGTCTTTCCTGTGCTGTTCTTGTGATAGTGAAGGGGTCTCATGAGATCTATGGTTTTAAAAAAGGGAGTTTCCCTGCACAAGTTCTCTCTTTGCCTGCTGCCATTCACGTAAGACATGACTTGCACCTCCTTGACTTCTGCCACGATTGTGAGGCTTCCTCAGCCATGTGGAACTGTAAGGCCAGTTAAACGCCTTTTTTCTGTAAATTAGCCAGTCTCAGGTATGTCTTTAACAGCAGCATGAAAATGGACTAATGCATAGCATTAGTGGGCTCATAGTCACCACTCAGTACAGATGTCACTACACTGAATGACCAAACCACGGACTTGAAGCAAGGCCAAAGTCTATCATTGAAAATATTCAGCAAATCCTTGGTAAAAATGTTTGCCTCATGTGTCAGTGCTGACAGAGAGGTGAAGGAGAGGATCCTAATCAACCTGCAAGGCTCAGGCCCAGGAATTCCTTCCTCTAAGCAGACTTTTCTAGCCCCATAGAGTCTACTTCCTACTATTATATATGTGATTATCTAACACAAACGTAAGACTGGGGAAAAAAGTAACGGCAATGTCAGCTTCCGTGCTGGGACTTTACATCAGTATACTGGTGTGGTCTTGTTTACTAGAGAAAATAGAATCCAAGATCATACTAATGTTTAGAACTCAGCTAAGAAGTATGTTTTGGCTCAAACTGTATCATAAATCAAAAGATGGTTCCTTACTGGTCAACATGACCCAGCTGTGAGAATAATTTATTAAACCAGACTCCTTAAGTAAGGTTCCTCTTCTCCACCTAATCCCTGGGCCTGAGCCTGGCAGGATGGAAAGGATCTTCTCCTTCACCTCTCTGTCAGCACTGGCACGTGAGATGAAAATTTACTCATAGCAGAAGGGGAAGGGGAAGCAGACCTATCACATGGTGAGACTGAGAGAAAGAGAGGGAACAAAAGACAGGAGATGCCAGGCTCTTTTAAACAACTACTTCTCATGTGAACTCATAGAGTGAGAGCTCACTCATTACTGTGAGGACAGCACCAAGCCATTCATGATGGATCCATCCCCATGACCCAAACACCTCCCACCAGGCTCACCTCCAACTCTGGAGGTCACATTTCAACATGAGGTTTGGAGGGGTCTTAGGTCTTAGGAGGAGACAATCCACAAAGTCTTAAGGCTTATCCCACCACCCACTTTTGTCTGAGGAAGATAACTTAAGGGAGAAAAAACCTTGTCCTGCTCTGCTGGAAAGTCATATCACACCAGGTCAACACAACCTTGTGACAGCCAGCCCTCCTCCTTCTGTTCTGAAATGAGAAATATGGAGCCACTCACACCAGAATGCCCATAAGCCATGTGTATTCCAAGGCATTTTCTGCTCAGGGGCCATGGATGGAAAAATTACAGTCTGATGACATTGTAGCACTTTTTCTTTCTCTCCACAGGCACCCAGACACTGAAAGCAGACAGTACACAGTATGAAAGACCACCTGCTCGGGCAGAGGAAATTGCAGGAGCTGGGCCTTAGGTCAAAAGGAGGGCCTATAGGAACTTTCCAGCAACATACTACCACACCCCCTCTATGGTTTCATTGTTTGTCCCCTCCAAAACTCATGTTAAAATTAAATTGCCATTGCAACATTAATAAGAGGTGAAACCTTTATGAGGCAGAGTCCTCATGGGTGGGACAAACAACATTATAAAAGGGCAAGTTTGATTCCCTTTCTTTTCTTTGCTCTTCTGTCCTTCCTCATGGAATGACACAGCAAGAAGGTCCTTGACAGATGCTGGCTCCGTCTTTGACTCTTCAGTCTCCAGAACTGAGAGCCAATGCATTTCTGTTTATTATAAATTACCTAGTCTGTGGTATTCTGTTATAGCAGCACAAAACGGACTAAGACACCTCCCCAGCACAATTTATTTATCCTATGTTCCCGTGACACTTTATTGATGAGTATTCTAGTATTTCATCTATTCTGCTATATTCAGCCATATTTTCTCATATCTTCCTCATGAGTCTGTGTCTAAGGAAAATGAATATATCTTATTAATCTCACTTTCCACAGTGCACAGCACAGTATATAGCTGAAAATAGACACTCAGTAAAGTTGAAAAACTTATGGTAAGAGAGACCCAGCACTAGAATGTTTTTTAATTTATAATCTGTAACTCCTTCTTACACTGTAAGTGACTACAAAACAGAAATCATGGCTTATTCACATTCAATCACACAACATAGTGTTTTAGAGTCAAAAAGACTTGTGTCCAAATTCTAACTATATGATTTACTTTCTGGTGACCTTGAGTAAGTGACAACCTCTCTGAGCCTCTATTTCATCATGATACATGGGTGTGAGAATTAAGTGAGATAATTCAGGCAAAGTATTTGGAATCCAGCCAGGCACACAATATGAGCCCAATAAATAGGGGTTATATTGGTAATGCCAGAGGACCCCCAGGTATGATTGATGCTCAGTCAATGTTGGTTGAATAAGAACCCCTCTGTGAATTTTTAATTCCCTGCTCTAAGTTTCTGGTCAAAACTCCTGAGTTGAGTCCCCAGACTGAACCCACAGAATATACGCTGGAAAAAGTTAATGATCTATGCAGTCAGATGAAAAGAAACAGAACAGATGGAAAGAGTTGGGACAATGTGTACCTTGGTTCCTTCCCCTGCCAACTCCTGTCAAGATGTTGTAACACTCTGGTCTGATTCTCATTACTTCTGAACAAATGAATTACTTCTTAAGCTTCTTTTTAACCAACTCTTCCATGAGTAATACGAAGATGGAAAATGACATTTTTCAGACTTTAGTGAGGTGAGGAGGTGAGAGAACAGATGGGGCAAGGGGGAACTGAGAGGTGAGAGCTCTGTTCTGAAGTCCCCCAAATACCCAGTGCTGGCATTGGGTCTCCTTTGGGGCCAAAGACCTGGGCAGGTATTTTCTCCCTTCCTCTATGAGTTAAAGCAGAGAAACTGTTATACATGGAACATTATTTCTTACATAGAAACCCACTGAGGATATTTCATTATAAAATCCTGATGTTTTCCTAAAATAATTTCAGATGTTAAAATAAAATAAAAAGCCAATAGAGTAAACTCAGATCAAATCACAGGATGCTGAAGGTGGACAGCAGCAGGAAGATCCCATTCAAGAGTAACAATTAACTCCAAAAACATCTTCCATGAAGTTGAGACACACACAGGGAATGGGTAGGTTTGGGAGCAAGGGCCAAGGGCCAGGTCCTGCCTAGGAGCTGTATCTGGACCTTTCAGGTTGGATATGGCTGTGGAACAAGGCACTAAACCACCAACTGGTTTGATTTGTTAGTTTATTAGTATTTATTTTCAATGTATTAGTCCATTTCTTGTTAATCAAATGAGTTGGAGGAAAGCCAGTCAGAAAAGGTGTCCAGACATTTTTCTGTCTAGTCATTTACGGGATGTGAAATGCCTGCCAGAGGCAACATCATAAAGGGAAGGAGAGTAAGTTTGGGGTCATCAGGTCTGGGCCTGAAGCCTGTCTCTGCTTCCTACCAGCTGTGTGCTTTGGGTCAAACAATTCAACTTTCTATGCTGCGATATTCTCACCTTAAAATGGAAGAAACAATACCTACTCTGCAGGAGTATTATGAATTGTAAGTGATATAACCATGTAAATCCATCATGGTCTGACACACAGCAGACATACAAAGAATGTCATTTCTTCTCTCCTTGCCTACTTTAGGCAAAGTGTTATATTGATTAATATAATGAACGCCTAAGTCAAAGATAGGAATATCAAAGAGTCCTTCCAGATCAGACAGTCCATGACTCTAATTTCTAGGGCAAATGCCAACTAAGAGCCAGAATTCACTGTACATTTACTCTGAAACTAACAAGGAAGCCACTAGTGAGAGAAGTTGGAAGCACTAAAACTCAGCTCAGCCTCTCTCTAATTTGACTCCTCCTAACTGAACACAGGGTGTTTCACCTTTCTGGATCTGAGACATCTTGGTGAATTTGCTTCTGGGACACAGGATGAAGATGTCTAGTTTCCATGTGGCCACCCACTATTCCGCAAGTCTATCCATACCACAAACACCTGGGATGTAAGCGGTGACAGGATCACAGTGAGTCTCATTCGCTATTCTCACCAATGGAAAAACTGAGGAAGTGGTGTGACTTCCCTAAAGACAACCCCATAGTAAGTAGATGGCAGAGTTAGAACAATCCTAACGTTTCCTTATCTGACTCCAAGAGCTTTTGTGCTACACTGTAAATGCCATTCATTCACTCCTTCAACAATTTCAAATTGAGCTTCTAAAATACACCCAGCCAGGCATGGTGGCTCACGCCTGTAATCCCAGTACTTTGGGAGGCCGAGGTGGGTGGATCACAAGGTCAAGAGAGTGAGACTATCCTGGCCAACATGGAGAAACCCCATGTCTACTTTTAAAAATATAAAAATTAGCTGGGCGTGGTGGCATGTGCTTGTAGTCCCAGCTACTCGGGAGGCTGAGGCAGGAAAATTGCTTGAACCCAGGCGGCGGAGATTGCAGTGAGCTGAGATTGTGCCACTGTACTCCAGCCTGGCGCCTGGTGACAGAGTGAGACTCTGTCTCAAAAAAAAAAAAATGCACCCAGATATAATCAGAGTCATACCTTAAGAACCCATGTTGGGCCAATGCTGCCTTGGCCCTAAAGTCCTAACTCTATATGCATTGTCAAATACACATAGGTTGTCCCTGTTTTCCTCCACTGGACTACCATGTGCTACACTGCCTTGATTGTCAAGGTAAGAAAACCAAGGGAATGTGCCAGAGTCTACTTCTATCGATTTTGCTTGTCCAGCAACAGTGCCTTCACTATTCTTTGAGGAATATCCCCTACCCTAGTGCATACAGTCTTGTTGGGACTGTCAAGCTGCCCCACTCTCCCTCTGGCAGTGTACTGACTAAGCCCAGGTGGGATCAAACTCTCCCCCTTGAATTTAAAGGTTGAATATAACCACTAAACCCTATGAAGCAAATTAACAATGATCATGGCACACTGAATAAGTTGTCCATTTGTTCTTGCTACATACGTCCATGGAAATGGTCCATTTCCATCTTTACTGAGACCTAGTTGCACATCCTTCCTTTGAGTCAATGAGCAGACTTCCAATAAGTTTCTTGTCTGCTTAAGTTAAACAGAATCCATTTCTGTTGCTTGAACCCAGTGAATCTTGACTAATCTACTCACCAATCCAAGAACATTGTGTAATGCATGGCTGGGAAATAGTTAACCAAAGATGCTCACATAGCTGTCAAGGGAAAGCTGCTTACTGGGCTTCCGGTACCATCCAAAGGGATAAGTATGGACTTCAATGTCAGGAGAGCCACAGTCCAAAATGCGCCATGCTCCTCCATTATCTTCACTGCACATCTGAAGTCCCAAACTGTTCAGAGTGAGGCATGTCACCTCTCCTCCTAGGGGGAAAAAAAAAGCAGGATCAGGAAAATGAGTACAATGGAAGAATCTAACGAATGAGAAAAATTCTGCAAATGCATTGTTCAGCAGATATTTGGGATACATCACTATATTTCAGATACTATCTCAGCCACTGCTGAAAAACCAGGTACCTGAAATCAAGGAGCCTCTGATCTAAAAGCAAAAGGATAGAGGTGGCTAATACTTATCAGGCAGTTATCATGTACCCAGGGCTGTGCTAGGTCTCTGTTGGTATCACTTCAGTTGATCCTCACATAACCTTAAGAGGAAAGTAGCTTTGGCAGCCTTATATACATATGAGGAAATTGAGGCTCAGGGAGATTAAGTGACTTTTCCAGAATCACACACTAGTAAGGGAATGAACCAAGCTTTAAAATACATATCCTACAAATGGACCCAAAGTTTGCCAAGCTGCCTGAACCAAGCACTGAAAGATGAACAAAAGATAGCTGAGCCAAGAGTGGAAGAAAGAAATTTGGCCAGGCAGAACTGCACAGGTAAAGTGATGATCACGGGACTAGGAGCCATGTCTCAGCTACCACATTTATTAGCCAGTTACCCTCTCCACCCCCCCCACTTCCTTATCTGTGAACGAGGATTACTTCTCTCTACTCACCTAGAGGAGATGCTGAGGATTTGATAAGAGCATAGATGTGACTGTGTTTTCTAAACTGCAGAGTGCTGTGCACAGGGGAGAGGGAGTTATTACCATTATTACCTTTTAATTGGGAAACATTAAGAAATCCAAAGCCAGTGCAGCATGGGTCCATATCACACAATCGTTCACATTCAAAGAACCTGGCATGGGATGAGAAAGAGAAGGACTGAAGGCTTTCATTGGTGGCCCAGGACCTACGGGGTGGGCTGATTGTAGTCATTCTTGCTTTTGGGGATGAGCTTTTTTATGACTACTTAAACTGGGGGTGCTTTGGTCAATGTGCATGAGTGGTTTCTTAGCTTTGAGGTTCATTCTGAAAACAAAATTCTACTCCTCTCAGAAATATTGTCCTGCCATTAGTCATTTATTCACCCATCATTCATCACACATATATTCTGTGCCTAGAATGTGGCAGGCTCCAATCAAGCTAACTCAGGATCCTAAATGTACTTCTTCAATCCTTTTATGTAAGCAGAAAGTCTCAGCTTTGGACTCTGGGAAAATTAAGAAATAATGGAGAAGGCATTTCTAGAAAGAGGAGAGTTCATGGGCTTACAATCAGGGTGACCCAGCCAGAGGCCTGCTGAAGCAGCAGGAGCTGAGCCTACGCTCCCCTTTGCTTCCCCTCTTAATCACCGTGCAATGTGGATAATCACACTCTACCAATGCACTTCTGTTTTCTGGCTCAGCCCATCCAGCCAGACTCTCTCAAGACTAACCTTCTTATCCATTCAGTGTAGCTACTAGTCCCCACCCTCAGCTTCTAGGGCCAGTCATGGCAGGAGGGACTTAATGGCTTCAAACCAATGTTCCTGGGCTCAGTTCCAAGTTCACATGCTCCTGTCTGACCACTCTTTGTTGAATCCTGAGAGCTTTCTCAAATCCTTTGTCCTTTCTTGGTGTGGGGGTCCTGCCTTGTGATTGCCGTTCTCCTTCCCTGAACCCAAGTCGCATCCCAGTGGTGATGCTTTTATCTGCTAGGCAGCATCTCCACTGTTGGCAGCATCTGTGTCCTAATGCCTGCAAGTCACCTCTCTGCCTTTCCATCTCCTAGTTATCTGCCAACATGCCCACTTACCGTTTCCTTTTCCTATCTTGGAAGATCATTTCTAAGATCTAGTCTGGACCATGCATTTTCTCCACCAATTACATTTCCCTGAGTCCAGATGCACAATCTGCTCCCCTAGTTCCCATCTCAGCTCCATGGTCAGGCTGATCCCTGGTTCCAACCCTCCTTTCATCCACCCTTCCCATCAGCACAGTGGTGTCCAGATGAATCTCAAGACAGACTAGCCTGCCTCACCTTTTTACCCCCATTTTCAAAAGTAGACCTTAAGCACCAGCAACATGATTTAGTTTCATAACTCAAGAGTACTTCATAGATCAATGGTTCATGAATGAATGAATGAAGTTTCAAGTATAAAAGAATTACCAGGGGAAGCTTCCAAAAGTTCGGATTCTTGGACCCCATCCCAGGAAATGCTGATTCAGCAGGTTCGAAATAGGCCCCAAGGATGCAGTTTATAAACAGTACCCAAGAATGCAGATCTGTGGATCTCACCCATTAGAATTCACATTCAGCTCTCCAGGTGATTCTAATGGGTAAGGTCCACAAACAATACTAAGAGAGACATCATCTTCAATTAAAGCAGCTAAATAATGACTAAGCAAATAAATCAATAATAAAATAAATTTTAAAAATAATAAATTACTTATATGCCTGTGAGTCTATTAAAATTTCTATTTGCCCTCCAGATTCTGAGTACTACAATGTGAGGGTCTGAGAATCAAGCTTATTACCAAGCTTGATAATTTACATTAAATAATAAGACGTAGCGCAGTGGCTTTTTCATCATCCACCTGCTAGTTCAAGGCTAAATACTGTGTTTACTTATCAGTAGCATACCTGAGCTAAGGTTTTCAGATACAGTTACCTCCTCATTACCTCCTACCCCCTTAGCCCTGGGTTTTGCTTCTGTTTCTAACTGTGATTGTGTCATCTTCTTTAGAGAAGTATTATTAATAATAAACGTTAGGAGTGAGACACAAGTAGCTTACCCGTTAGAAATAGATTTTTCAGACATGGGCACTTTATTTCTAATGGATAGCCCCATCAGTTTTTGGAACGGCAGGCGAGTGTAAAAGTTCTTCACTTTATCTTCCAGTATAACTTCATAAAGGAAGAAAGAAAATATATTACTTAGCGACTTGCTGTAGTCAGGAAAATATGAGGATGAATGAGTAAAACCCAGACTGAAAGTTTCCAATTAAAGATGACATATTAAATTCATATTAACTGTCAGTTCCTATCCCAAATCTCACTAAAATGATGGTAAGTCCACATGGACAGAGATTTTTTTTAAAAAAAAGTGGGACACAGCAACAAAATGTTAGAAGCTAGAAAATATGAGGAATAAAAATGGGTTTAATAGACCTAAGAAAACGACTCAACTTCCCTGCGGTAAGAACCAAGAAGCAATGCAGTCTGCCCTCCGGAATCCCACAAGGTATAAGTACGGTAGCCCTGGGGGTGAAGGTGGCCCAAACTGAAGTACTGGCTGAAGTCTCTTTAAGAAGTTATTAGGTCTCTGGATGTTCTCCTCTGCTCTCCGCAGCCAACAACAGCCCCCTCCCCACCATGGAAGAAGGTAGAAGGTAGAAGGTTCATTTTCTCAAGAGGACAGAAGAGAGGGTCTCTCAGGCACATCAGGTACAGTCCGTGGCATAAGCACTTCACTGGAAGCAGGAGATTCTTTCAAGTCAGCCTGCATAATGAATATTAAGATGTTCCCCACCTCCATTTTCCAAATGTATTTGGTACCAAAACCACCAGCAGCCAGGCTCATACACCAAGGGCAGACGTTGAAACTCCTCTGAAGGAGGAACCTAAAAATACCGGCGTTAGGAATTCTCCAAAGGGCAGCTCAACTGGATTATCCCTCACAGAAACCTAGAGTCAACAAGCTCCCATCACACATTTGCGGCTACGCAGTCATCTTGTGGACCCCTTTGACATTCAAGTGGAAAAATAAGAGTCACTGGACATCTGAGAAAGGCCTCCAACAAAGAAGATAGAACAGTAAATGAAGGGTGACAACATCTGGAGAAAACAGACTGTATGGGGTTAAAAAAAATCTCCAAAAATATGGCATCATTAATGGCCTGGGAGAGAAAAGTCACTGTTGCTGACATTCTCTGTAATATACAGCCAAATGGAAATCTAATACATGCAGTAAAGGCAGCTCTCTTAGGAGAGAGGATTATTTTCTAAAGTCAGTTTGATGCAGTTCTGACTGGCTTCAGATCTCTACAAGGAACACGGACAACTTTACTTTTAAAACAAGAAGAAATTAGTTTTAAGTGTAAATAAACATTTTTGTTTCATTTTTATTTAAAAAAGCCCACTTCTGCATTGAAAAACTGCCCCCAAATAACCTTTTTCATATTTTTTGTTTAAACTGAGACAATCACGCAGTGGTTTATTGATTCTAACCCTGAAAGTTTGGATCCGATTTCCCATCTTCTTGAAACCAATAAAAGTATAAAGAAAACAGTTTTTAAAGAAGAAACTAATCTGGATATTTCTAAAACCACAGAGTCAGCAGCACATCGGAAATACAGTTTATGCAGATTCCTCCAAGTGCTCACCTTTCTTCCGGAACAGGGCCATTGGCCTCTGAGGCAGGATCAGTCTGCAGCCCTGGGGACTGGACTCCATGATGTCATTACACTCCTGCACCTCTGGGTAGAGGGTGCAGGTGAAGTACATGGAACCACTGTCTGTTATTATCTCTGCGAGCTGACAGAAAGAGTGTTCCTGTACACAACCTATAGGCAAGAGAGCAGTGTGTTTTTACATACTGCGGGGTCTACAGGATTCTCTGGGGGGAGGGGGGTAGGAAATGCCTGATAGAGATCCCTCCTAGTTATGGCAGAGGCCTGAGATTGTCATGATCATCCAGTCTGGAAGGCCCATGCAAAAACGCTGGGGTTCTGCTAGTTGTGGAGGGGGCTGTGTGCTCCTGAATAAAGGTAGTGTCAAAGGCATAAGGGGCAAATCTCAAACTCAGCAATACAAGAGGGAAAATAGTAACATTCCAGTGGATCCACCCATGGCCATCTCAGAGGGAGTCAGGATCTGCAGACAGAGGCCATGGGACTGTTAAAAACTATGAACTTTATGAATGGTCTCCCTGCACCTGTGCCCATGTCAGCCTATGCCCTGGTATATATGAGCTCCCCAAGGGTAAGAAACATGGTTGATTTGATTCATTTTGGGTGTTCGCTTTCATCTCTAAAATTAAACGCAAAGTTTTGAACATAATGCATACTTAATAACTGCCAAATAGATGAATGGATACATGGATGGATGGATGGATGGATGGATGGATGGATGGACGCATGGAGAGACAGGTGGATGAAGATAGGTTCTCGGAGCAGAGTAGAGATTAACTACACTGTAACCTTCTTGGAGATAGGGGTTATGTGTTATCTTTCTTTTATATCATCCATGGTACTAAGACTACAGTGATCCCTAAGTTATGACACAAAATTTGACCTTATCTGTTTCTCAGGAGTTGCCAGACTAGGCCTGTGATGCCTGACTGGAGTGTCTGGAAGAAGAAGGACGAGTTTTAGGGATACTTACGAGAAAGGCACCACAGATTTGCCTGCTGGGCTGAAAACAGGTGCTTGAAAAGCCAATGCTTCTGGCTGGGCAGTGATCGATTTTCATTGACAATGACCTGGTCAAGGTCCACAGGGGAGAAAAGTTCTGTTGTCAAGCCTGAAAAAGAAGCAGAGAGTCAACTTCCTTTACATTTATCTCTATAGTGAATATGAGAAAAACACAAGAAACACATACACGAACACACACACACACACACACACACACACCCACACACACACACACACACCCCCCGAGGGGTGGGGGGAGAGAGAGAGAGAATTTTTATGCTGTGTGAAACCAGAGCAGGATTGAAGTCAGTAGACAGAGCTGGGAGTCTGATCAGATAGGAATAGTTCAGAAGGCCCCAGGAAGTCCTAAAAATTATGAGATGGAAAAATCTTAGAATCTAGGTTTGGATAAAGTCTTGGAAGTTATCTGGTCCACCTTTTCACCTAATGCAGAAGTTTTCCCCTTGAGACTTCTGGCTAATGCCTCTGTGGCTTGTCATGACATCATTGTACTGACCACAGCAGCTCACTCCATCATTAGTAAGTTGTATAGTTAAGTTCTCTTTCTGTAACTTTGAACCACTGATCCTCTTTCTGTCTTCTGAAGCAACAAGGAAGTCCAGCCTCTCTCTCAAATGGTAGTCTTTGTCTATAAAGACAGCTTTCAGCTCTGCTTAACCCAAACTTGAACGTTCTAGCTCAACCATTCCCTGAGTCTTTCTTCAGGTATTCACATGCCATAACCCCAGCTTTTCCTGGGGCCTCCACTGCCTACAGAACAGAAGTCCAAGTTCTTTTCTTAATCTGGGCTCTACCTGCATTTTGAGCCTCACCTCGGATTGTTTGGATTTGCACTCCAGCAGCACAACAGTCCTGCTAATTCTAGTTCATCACCACACTGTTTGCAGTCCCTGTGCAATTGCTCATGCACTTCCCTCTGTTGGCTCAAGCTCCATTACACCCTCCTCCCCCACCCAGCAACTCATGTTTAGTTCAACTTAGTGCAACTCATGTTTCAAGGATCAGCTTTGCTCCCTCCTGCTCTGATGTCCTGTGGCTCTATAAAGAGGTTCAACAGGGCCAAGGGCCCTGACATCCAGGCCCTTGGCCCTGGGGATAGCTCTGTATCCTTGGAGGGCTCTGTCTTCCAGGGGGACATACAATGGTGGCATGAGGTATACCAGGAAGATGAACTGGGGAATGTTTGCCATGTCCATCCATTCAGGGCTCTGTATAAGAGGCACTATATCCCATATACACCTCCACTTTGGTGTGGACTTGAGCACTGCACTCTCCTTGTCAGTACCTGTCAGCAGCCACTTTCCACACTCCATAAATCTGGATCAAAAAGACTGAGCTTCTTTACTAGAAAGAACCGCAGTCAGGATAAAGACTTTACAAGCATTTGGCAAGGTCAGAAGTTTGATGCCAGCAGAGGCCCCAGAGACCATGTTACCACCCCAGCCCTCATCTCACGTGATTGTGTAATGGCCAGTCCCCATGCCTGTCTCCCCATCGAACCATGACTAGCACAAAGTAGAAGCTCAGGGAGATCACAGGTTGCCCCTCAAGATGGCAGCGTAAGAGAAGAGAACCAAGGCAGCAGGCCTGAATGCACACCTGCTCCTGGAGCCTTGGCACAGGTGTTCCCCTTACCTGGAACACCGTTTCTCAGGTGTTACCTGGGAGTGTCTGGCAGCTCCTTCTGGTCTCCTCTGAGAAACCTTTCCTGGCCCCTGCAGGCTGCTAGCATTCCTTCTCCTGCATTCTCACTGCACCTGACACCTGTCCACATTGCACCCCTTGCCACATTGTCACGCAGTGGCTGGCATGTGGAATTCTCACTAGTCTATGAATGTTCAAGGTCATGGCCGCATGTGCTCAAAAATGTCTGTTGGATGAAAGAATGAATACTGAAGCCCCTTCATCTTATGCCTGATTTACATGCTGTATTACATAAAGCCATTTCCTACTTCTTTTAAGACTGCACCATCCTTAAAAGCAAGGAGACCAACCACTCTCATTGGCTTCCTGAGTTTGTCTCAAACATTCAGACGAATGGCAGTAACCTGATACACAAAGGGGAAGATTCCTCACTGTCCTCTGAATCAGAGAGGCCATTCCCATGAACACTGAGAAGTACCGTCCAAGTAAACGAGCACATGGAGACGCCACCCGGCCTGGACTCAATGCGATTTCTTCTCCAAGCAGTTTATCTCCTTGAGCCCAGGAATGCAATCAACTGAGAAAGGGAAAACTGAGCTGAGCCTTGTCTATTCACCCTGACTCCCTAGAAGGTCTCCAGTGGGGGCCAAGCTCCACTTCTAGGGGAGAGGGTGGGGAACGTCCTGTGTGAATCATGTGAGAGTTTGGCAGACGCTGCCCTGAGGCAGTGTGTGATGATGGATTTGTCAGAACCTTCTCAAGTGCCACTAACCCACACACATTTACATTGTCACAGCTGTGTGGCTACCTTTCAAAGGCACTGCCAAGTGCAAACACGATGCCCGATCAAAGAGGGGAGGGCAGAGTGCTGGGCAGTTTTTGGCATGTTAAGAACCAGGCACTGTGCCAAGTGTTTGTTATCAATTAGGATAAGAGGTAGACAAGATTATTTTACACACGAATCCAAGGCTTTTAGCGGAGAAGCAAATTCCCCATGGCTGTGCAGTAAGGCATGCATTCAATGGCAGAAATGTGGTTCGGGATCGAGTATCTGCTCTGTAATGTGATGGTTTTTCCCTTGCACCATGTTGTCTTCCTACGCCAGCAGTCTGCCCTGGCTATCCCTCTTCTTCTTCCCTTCGGCTTCCTTCTTTCCTTCTGCTCCTACTCCTCTTCCTACAGTGTGTGCATGCATGCAAATACACACATGTGCCCACACGCGCGCACACACACACACCGCAGACCTCAGGCGCTGTCTTGTCTCCTGGTCCTTGCTGAGCCTGTATTGAGCAGCTGGTCTCCCTCCCTCTCTGAGTTTTTGCTCCACCTCAGTAATAATAATCAGACACTCTTGAGGTAGAGAAGTCCCAGATAGTACATACGTACTGTTCCCATTTGTGTTTGGAATAACAGCTCTCACTGTATGCCACGACATGCAAAAGATTCTCATAGACATCTCATTCATTAAACAATTTCAGAATATTTACACTTTGCTTATACTCTTCAGGACTGACATAAGTGAAGCTGGCACAGTCAGGTGAACCTTGCTCTGTTTCTTTTTTTTCAAGGTTATTATGGTTGCCTTCATTTCCTGCAACAGTGATGAATTTGCAATGGTTTTGCCTTAGTTTCTGTGCCAAATGCTCATCTGAGGAGTGTTCCGTATTTGTAAGCTGGATAACTGGGTCAGAAGATTAAAGGGGGGTCCATGGATACAGAGTAGAGCGATGTCAATAGGTCCGCTCATTGATTAAACTCCTGGTGCACACACTTTGTCTCTGCATTCAGATACCCAAGTGTATAAGAAGGTTCTGGGGTTGGTACCTGTTTCTGTTAGAGATGTTGGCCTTGGCACTGTGCCTTTTCTGCATCCCACAGACTCAGGCCGAGACCCCATGTCAGAATCTAGGAGGAAAAAAAAGAGTTGTTTCAATGTTGGGAAGAACGGGTAGTATTCCACTGGTCAACCAAATGGTAACAGCAATGTGAGAAATTCTCAGGGCCTAAAGCCAGGTGCCTGAGATAAAATCTGGAACAGATGTCCTGACGTGTAGATCCGCAGTCTTTTGTTTTATGTGGAACATCATCCAACCTCTCAATGACAGAACAACCATTGTCTGTGATATTGAAATTATTAACATATGCAAAGCCCTTTCGAGTTAACAATATATGCTCATAAATATTGCTGTTTATAACATCCTATATAGGCAGAGAACAAGGTTTTCATAAAAACTGAGACTTAGAGAGGCAGAATAGTTTATCCCAGACCACTCAAGTGGCCAGTAAATGATTTAGAAATTTTAAAAATTTAACCAAATGTCCAAGTCAGGAATAGGTCTTCCATGAAAGTGAGGGCCTATGGTGATGCAGGTATTGGGCAGGTCTCAAGGCACTTCCCTATAGTGCAGCAAATGTCCTAGACAAATGTATGTCCTTCAACTTTCATCAGTTAACACTTTATCAGCAATGTCTGATAACTAGGAAGTGCTGGACTTGGGACATACTACCAGTGTCTGGTCTCAACCTCAGGACCTCCCAGGTAACCCATGGGCATTTCATGTACCCTCTCCAAGTCTCATTTTTCTTGCCTGGAAAATGAATAAAATATCACCCCCTCTTTAGACCTACCTTATAGGTATAACTAAATGAGAAAAGAAGTACATAATCTCATTTTACCTCTTTAACACGAAAATGATGGCAGACACCTTCCTTTTCTTTTTTCCTCTTCTGCCTCCTCCTCTTTTGCCTTCCTTCTCTTCCTGTTCGTCACCACCGCCCCACCCCCAACATTACTCAGCAGGTATTGTATGTACGGCACTGTTCTAAGCACTTTTCAGGCATTCCTGCATTATTGCTCAGGTAACTCTAAGATCAGTGCTATCTGTGTTGCATGTCAGCCATGGGGAATCTGGGCATGAGAGGCTGGTCCACGGGCTCCCAGTTACACAAGTGAGGATTGATGGCACCAGGATTCACATCTCATCACTCCAACTCTATGCCTTCCTGCTCTTTCAGTTTATCAGCACAAGTCTCCAATCCTCTCTCAGGACACTGAAGATCAGTGAGGAAAGATTAAGGGGACAGGATGAGGGTGATATGAGGTCAGGGGCCTTTCCTCATGCCTCTCACCCAGCACATATGGCCATGACCTGTGATGGGCCACTGCTCCATCTGCTCTCTCCTGAGGCTAGAACCCTTCAAGAGTTCATCTCTCTCCTAAATGCCGTTCATTTTCCCTGGGTCTGAGTTGTCACTTGGTCAACATTCAGAAAACTCTAAGGAGGACAAAGAAGCAGAAGGGAAATGCCAAGCACACATGTTGTCAGACTCCATTTCTCCCCACTCTGTCCCACGCACCCAAGTAGCATTATCTCTGAGCAGGAATTCAGGGCACTACCTGCCTGAGGTCCTGTCCCCAGTCCCTTAGCCTCAGAGAGAAAGGCACACAGGGCTGAGTCCCCTTGGAGAAATGCCTCCTGTGCTTTGCAATGGCTCCAAACTCCCCTCCTGGGAAAAAGGGTGTCCTGCGGTCAGCAAACTTTATCTCATGGGAACCTAGTGCTTCCTCCCTCTACCCTTTCTCGGGTTTCCACAGTAGTTATTTTTCTTTTAGACTTTGGCATCTTATCTGATGAGCTGGAGCCCTTCTGTTCCACAGAAAGTATGCATTTGGAAAGCGACTCTCTACCTATTTCTCTATGGAAATGAAGTGGCCTGTGAATGAGAGATGGTGCCAGACAATCTCATGTAATCAGTGTCCTGCTAACCCCCTCTTCCACTGTGGATCTTACCTTTCCAGAGATAAACCTGCTGAAAATTGGCAAAGGTGCCTTGAGTTCCTTCTAGGGGTGTCAGACCTGCAAAGGAAGATGTTTATTTTTATGAGTTTGAGTGTGCTATCACTGCGTACCCACCATTACCGCAATAGCCCATTTCCCTTGATGCAGGCTCTTCCTAGGCCTGAAAACTCTGTTTCCTATCCGAGGTATAACCCAGGAGCTTCTTGCAGCTCTATTCCAGCTCCCTGGCCCAAAACCAAAGTTGGTCAGATGTCAGGTGTCATGCTGAGGGCACCAAAGGAACTACTTTCATGAGGGGTTGTGAACCTATGACTCAGGAGAGTCATTTAAGGAACTGGATATAGGCTTGAAGAAAGCAAAACTCCTGGGACATTTGAGGGTTATGAGTTTTCCACATCACTTAACTCCTCAGAGACTCTTGCCTCATTGGTAAATGTGGACAGCAATTTCAAGAATGGAAATACTGTACATAAACAATCTTCCGCAGTCCTCAACATTTGATAGGCAGCCACTTGGCAGCTGCCATGACTCAATTGATTACTAATATCAGATTTTCCCTTCTGGCAACCTGTTCTCCCCTGCAGGCCATTCTGGATGATACTAGACTTGCCACACCATCTCTTGAAGGTCGGTGCTGCCCCTTTTGCCTTCGTTCAGTCTTCAGTTCCTTTCAATATCCCGTGATATGGAAGGTGGAGGAAAGAACCCAGATAGCCGAGTCTGGAGGTAAAGAGGCCCCACGCTAAAGGAAAGAGCTGGCTGATAGCTTGAGATGTCAAGATATGATCAAACTTTGCTTTAAATTATCATTAGGAGGTTATTTTTTTTTTACATTTTTAAATTTAAATTTTATTTTACTTTAAGTTCCAGGATACAAGTGCAAAATGTGCAGGTTTGTTACATAGGTATACATGTGCCATGGAGGTTTGCTGTACCTACCAGCCCATCATCTAGATTCTAAGCCCCGCATACATTAGATATTTGTTCTAATGAAGAGCTAGTTATTGATAAACAGTTATTTCCATTTATCCAACACTAGC